CTATGTTAAAATTAGGGTCATAACGTCGTATTCAAGTACACAATAATGTTAAACGTTACACAAGTTATAATAAAGGTTACTATGTTAAAAATAAGGTTAATATGTTTAAAATAAGGGTCACTATGTTAAATATAATGTCAATTGTCTGTGTATAACTCTCGGGTCCACAATAATATTATTGTGGACCAGGTCCACGCAAGTCTCTCCTTCAATTCTCTCCACTATTTTTGCTTTTACAATTTTTTATTCTTCCCCATACCCCACTACCTCTATTTTTTATTATTTTCTCCAATTTCTCCTAAAACTCCGCGTACAGAGAAATGGAGCAAGTATGTAATAACGGATGGAGTACAATCTAAAAAGGATCTATTCTGCTCAGCTTAATTGCAGTTCAGTTCAGTTCAGTTCAGCTCCAATCAGCTCGGTTCAATTCAATTCAATTTAGTTCCTAATTTCGTTCTCTCACAAATAATTCATTTCATCTATATTCGTTCAGTTCCTAATTTCTTTCTCTCATAAATAATTCATTTCAGCTATATTCAATTCAGTTGAGCCCCAATTAGTTCAGTTCAATTGTTTTCAGTAAATCGGAATAGGCCCTAATTTTCATGAAAGTCATGATTAATTTTATACTCTATCAATAAAAACTAGAAAGAGAAACATCTTTATAAAATGTGATTTTAAAACATAATGAAACATTATTAAATTATTAAATTGGGTAGTACTATAAGTAGCTCTTAGGAGGACTATAAATAAGTATTTAATATACTTTCTTTTTTGATATAAATTTAGTGAAAAAAAGACAAAATCACGAGCAGATCAATGTAATTAATGATATATTTCATTATTAATTCCTCTTTTAACTCCTTATAATACATCCCTTACGACTACCTATACTATCTTCCTACTAAATCTGAGGGAATAACTGAAATATACATACTTTCCAATTGATTCATCTTATATCAGGAGGGTATAGGAGATAGTGTACTCAATTCTTTATCGAATTAATTCATTTAAAATGAAAGAAGGAAATTTCATTAACATCTTCAAAGACATCATGGACTTCATAGCAAGGTTTACTAAAGACTTCATGTCCTAGAAGGCTAAAACTTTGTGGTCGTTGTCTCGTTGACGTCACGTCGGAGACAAGTATAAGTAAAGATGGCCCTAGGCGGGCCGACCAAAAGCCCGACACAGCCCAGTAAAAAAAAGCACGACACGATAAGGGCACGAAAAAAGCACTGCACAGCAAGGCAGTATTGTGCATGTGGGCCGTGGGCCGCCATTATTTAGAAGAAGCACGATAAGACTCAGCACTATCAGCCCGACACGACAAAACATTCTAAAATCAATCCAACACGTGGGCCTGGACCATACAAGGGCCAACCTTTTGAATACTTTGGCGGTTTGGCCCGACCCAGCATGACATAAAACTCGTGGACCGAGCAATAAACCGGGCCTAACTAACCCCAAAGCACGTGAACCTGATACGACTTAAAGTCATTTTAAGTACAAGAGAAATATTTTAATTAGTTTAAGGGTATTTATTTTTTTTACACAAATTAGTTTAATTATTCAATTAATTAAAATTTGTTGACTATGATGATTATAGAAATAATCTTTAAAGTGTTAATTTGTGCTACAATCTACCCGTTGAGATATATCAATTTTCTAAGGAGGATAATATAATATTTGAATCTTTTTTATTTTCTCTATTGAAATCTTCTGAAAATATTTTGTTGTTTGATTAATACTTATAAAGATAATCTCCTCTTTTTTTTTTAACTAGATTGATATGTTAGTAAAAGTAAAAACGTTATAATAAAAGAGGGCATTTGGCGTTTGCTCTCCCCTTTTTAACCCCTACTTTTAATTAATTGTATATTTGTATAGATAATTATTTAGGCTGTATTTAGGGCTTGTACACATTTACTGAATTGAGCTGAACTGAACTGAATTGATTGGAGCTGAACTGAACTGAACTGGTTTGAACTGAACTGATTGGAGCTGAACTAAGATGAACTGAACTAAGTGAAATGAATATTTTATGAGAGAGAAAAATTAGGAGCTGAACTGAACTAAACTGAACTGATTGGAGCTGAACTGAACTGATTTGAACTGAACTAAACTGATAAGTAAATGTGAACATGCCCTTACTTCATCTTTAAAAAAATAATACTCCGTAATTAGTAAAAAATCATTTTTGTTCAGCAAAAAAAATTTCAGTTCAGTAAAAATCAGTAACTATAAAGAAGAAATATAATAGAGAATCGGTAAAAATAATTTCAGTTCACCAAAAATAATTTCAATTCATTAAAAATTACTTAAGTTCAGCAAAAATAATTACAGTTTAGTAAAAATAATTTAGTTTTGGATATATAAAAGGCAATCAAGTGATTTAGTTTGTATTTTTTGTAATACGAAGTACTATTTAGTTTTTGTAATACGGAGTGCTGCTCGGTAAAAATATAATAGAGAATCGGTAAAAATAATTTCAGTTCAATCCTTATACTATAGTTGGCTTGTATTTTTTTGTAATACGGAGTACTATTTAGTTTTGGAAATAGAATAATCCGCGTATCATAATAGCAATCAGTATGTATTCCCTTCGTGAGGAGGGTTTCCTAATGTTTACTTTTTTCTTACCATTGTAAAAAAAAAAAAAAAAAAAATTAGGAAGAAATCTTGATTTCTTTTGCATATATTTGGTCAATAAAAAAATTTGATTTCCTTTTGGCCAATAATATCCGCATTATTGGAAATTTTAGGATTTGATGTTTTGTACTCCAAAAGACCAAAACCATCCTTTATAGAAAGAGAATACTCATACTTTGTATTCAACATTTCAACTACCTTATTTTTTTTTTAATTTTTTTTTTCTTTTTTCCTAAAAAAAAAAAAAAAATACCTTAATTTCTTTCGAAGTATAAAAATGATCTATCCGAGGAATATGTACATAGAATGATTAAAGTACTTTGACAATTTTCATGATGCATAATTCTATAGTCCATTCTCATAATAATGCATTTCATATGCAATTTTTTTTTTTTTGTTCTTTTCAAGATCTAATAATTTAATGACATAAGCTACTACACATCATATGCATACATACTTTGAAGTCTATTTTCATAAAAGAGAGAGGATAGCTCAACTAGTTAGAACTTCTTTCCCGATTACAAATATAGGTAATAATTAATAATTAATATAGGGTGGATTTATAATAATTAATATAGGGTGGATTTTCCCAAGCGAGTCATCGCATGGTGCTTATTCTTAAGGACAAACCCGGAGCATGTTAAGTCAATATTTTGCTTAGACCATGCCCGATTGTAGGAACACTAGTGATTACTCTTAAAAACATTTTAAACATGCGCTAATTACACTTGTATACTTAAACTCTCATCACACAAGTGTTAATTAAAACCTAAGTTGGATCTCATTGTACAAGTGTTAAAACAAAATTCAACACATTCGGAGTCTAATAGGTTCTGAATCATCAACCAAATACTCTCAAAAAATCAGAAAACATAGGCATTATTATTGGGAGGAAGTTTCAATGAAAAAAAAAAGAGGGGCACATGAAGGTTCCTCACCTAACTCTACCGAAAGGCAAGTTGACAGAAAACACGACAGGTGTGTGAAATTTAAGGGGCCGAATAAAAATGCAAATGCCGCATGATATTTGGAATACTAGCCTTTGCTTACAAAGTACTCTATCTAACTTCTTAAGCTCAACACTAGTAGATTTTTATTCAAGTGAATATAGCCCACCATTACCCTTTTTTGTTCCTCTTATTCAAGATATGTTCCCCATTTTCTTTTTATTATTCTCTTTCTTTTTCCTTTTTTTGGCTCACTATATACGACCATACTCCTATACTATTTGCACATGTACTCAATAAATCCAAAAAATGAGGAAAATTATACTTTACATCACTAAATCTCATTAGATACTAATCCAACATGATACTAATCAAACAAATATGCAAATTTAGTAGAAATGATTGAGAACTCGTCTTATAATTTTAAACTCTTCGCTTTTGTATATAAAAAAAGGCAATTAACTAGTCGGGATAAATTAAATATTTATTAATCTTAAAATTATAATTTACTACTCTATACAAATTAATTTATTTTATATGTTAATATATCTCTATTATTTATTTATTTATTTTTTTTTAAAAAAAAGTGTTACCCCTCAATTAAAAAGGTAACAAATTGTTTTATATCTTTATTTAAAAAAAAATCAAATTCAAAATTTGCATCTAATTCATTGGGATATAATACAAATAATATTGTTTAAAATATATGATGACTTTTAAAATTATTCAAATCTAAATTTTGCTAATCAATTTTTACGAAAAAAATAATTAAAATACAACATTATTAATAACATTATAATTGTCATCAAAATAGTACTCCCTCCGTCCCTTAGTACAATACTTCTTTTTCTTTATAGGGACGGAGGGAATACTAATAAGATCATTATTAATTCAAAATCTAATATTCGTATATAATTAGAAATTTTCCATTCAACATAACGATTTTGGTAATCACTTCATAACCATTTCCTATTTTTAAGATTTTGTTGATGAAAACAAGTGGGATTTTATTTCTTTCAGAAAAAGGTGGGGTTTTATTAAGCATTTTCTAATTTGATCCTTTTGCAAAATTACATGTAAATATGTAATACGGAGTATAATAAATACGAATATGACTATACGAGTAATTAATTAAAAATACGAAGCAAATAAAAAACGCCGAGGAATGATATGAAATACTGGAGTGGTACCAGTAGCAACCAAAAAAATTTTATTCTCAAATCCCGCCTACAGAATCCAACTGAAAAGACCTTTGAGAATAAAGCCACTCAATATAAAAGCTTATGTTCCTTTAATTTAGATTCTCAATTCAACAAGAATCAAATCCAAAAATAAAAATTCAACGCAAATAATATACTGACTAAATTAAAGAACAACAAATAAAATTAATAGCATAAATAAATTCAAACTTGCTTATTATTATTCATGCATATAATAAGATACTGAAAATGAGCATTATATGATAATAACATTTTTATGGATGGTAAGCATTGTTTGTTTCCTAGAGGAAGATGAACAACAATGGACTGCTCTAACAGCACAGGAAAACCCATTGAATTCATCTCCCACTTTTACATCAAAAAAGAAGCTCATTCCTTGCTCACTTACATCTTTGATACTCACTCAATAACAAGATTTAAACTCGAAAACTTGAAAATTAAACAAAAAACCAGATCTTAAGAGTATGTTTTCATTCAATCTCTTAAGATCTGTTTATCAAAACTGCTTACTTCCCTATATAATACGAAGTAGTTCTTCTATAGATTAGCTAGTACTATCTCTACTAGTTACTACTACTAATTAATTACTCGCTACAAAACTTAGTGGCTGCTGCAGCTGCTGTTGCTGCTGCAGCAACGTTCCGGGGTTCTTCAATCCAGGCAAATTCCTCGTTACTCAAGTTAAAATCGAACTCGAACCCAGGTAGATCAGATGGCTCGAGGGAATCGAACCCATGAACTTCAAGGCCATTGAATGCATCAAAGTCTGCAAAGATATCACCAAAATCATTAAACATGAGGGACGAATCGAGCTCCATTTGTAAGTCGAAATCACTGCGTTGGAATTCCTCTTCGATTGAGCTCATTACAGGAACAATGTCATCAGACTCCTTAATGCCAACAGACTCAACACATTTGCTCTTTCCAATTTCAATATCAACTGTACTGTCAACATTGCTGGTTAATTTCATCTGCGATGCAGAGGTATCGATTTCGAGCACTGAGGCAGGAGAGTTATGCGATACAACACTCTCCGAATCCTCAGAAACAGCAGGGTTTTGCACTGCAGTAGCAGCAGAACAAGAAGCATTCTGGCTTTTCTCAGCTATCAGAATTTGAAATTCAATCCTCTTTTGTTCATAAGCCAGTGCAGCTTCTTCAGCAGTATTGTAAGTCCCCAACCAGATTCGAGCCCCTCGAATTGGGTCTCGAATCTCCGCTGCCCATTTCCCCCATTTCCTCTGCCTCACACCCTTATACTTCGATGAAGCGGGTTTTCGAGTGGTAGAGGTTTTATCAGACGACTTTCTTTTCCTCTTACAACCATTGTTGTTATCATCTTGGCAAGAACTCTCAGTTTCGGCAACCGGGTTGTTAAAACCCGAATTTACGGGCAGGATAATCTCTTGGACTATCCGTTTTTTAGACCCAGATGGTCTTTTTCTCCTGTTTTCACTCTCATCATCAGATGAAGAATCAGTCATATCCGGATCAAGGCAATAAATTCGGACTTTTTTCAGTGTTTTGGGTTTGCTGTAAAACAATTTCTGAGTCAACATTGGATTCTGAAGGTCAGCCATTTCTTCTGGGTTAAGATCAAACTCCAAAAACCCAGAAAATTTTTAGGATTCAAAGAATTTTTAAGAAAATAAAGATTTATGTAAAAAAGGTGGAAGTAAATTAGGCAAAAATCAAGTGAGAGACACTCTTAAAAAGATGAATAAATCTATGAATCTTTTTATGTGAAAACCCCCAAAACACTCTACTCCAGAACAAGTCCTGCAAAACAAAAAATTAAAACCCATCAAAAACCATAAACCCTAAAAATTCATAAACCCAGAAAAAATCAAAACTCAAATAACAGCAAAAATCTCAGAAATTAAAACATGGGTATTGAAATTAAAGCATAAAGAAGAAAAACCCAGTTACCTTTTGGGCCTCAAACGCATCGAAACGGGTGAAAATCCGGGTATAGAACTCTGCTGAGATGAACAGCAGAGAAGAAATTGCATAAAGTGAGCAAAAAAAAGTGAGTAAAATTGATAAGAGAGCTTCAATGAAGGAGCCCCAAACACTACCAAATCTGACTTAGCAGACATAAATCTTCTCAATCTCTTCTTCCCTGAAAAACCCTCTTTTACAGAGTCTTTCTCTCTCTAAAACCTCTGCAAAAATGAAGAGAGAGAAAGTAAAGAAAAAGATTAGATAGAATGAACCAAATTGATGATATATAGACGACTTGTTTTACTTTTTTTTCTATGAGATTAGGAATCTATGGCTGTCAATCTCTCTCTATAATATGACAAAGATCTATCAATTTTTGAACAGTGAAAAAAAAGTTTTAGAGAGAGAGTGTGAAAAATGGGTTTATGAAGAAGAAGACGATTGAAAGATGCAGAAAATATGCATAGAAATTTGAGTACTAAATTTATAAAATTGTATAAATATTAAATTAAAAAGGGATCTTTGGAAAACTCGTGAATTAATTTAAAGAATTTAGAGTAAAAAAATGAATAAAAATTGTACCTTTCAGAGTATTTCTCTCTCTAGTGGGTGGCGTTTGGTCTGTTGGTTTTCTGGACTTCACCCTTCCCAAGAGGTGGGCGAGAGATTAAATAGAGAGCTTTTTTATCTTCAACTTTTTGTAAAATTTTAATTCAGTAATTTAATTAATTTTAGTTAAATTTTTGAAAATGTTAAGTCGGTTATTGTAAATCAGGAAAGAGATAAGCTGATTACACTTGTCCCCAATTTTTATTGCTTAAAATGATTATTTTTTTAAAAAAAATATTTTTTTTTTTATTTGGTAAACTGTAATTTAGATCTTTAGTTACCATATATTTGAGCTGTCAATCTGTCAAATATTTAAGGAGTGTTTTATGCGGAAAATAAAATTTGTTATTTTTTTTTTTTTTACAAGAATGTTACAATATTATTTACTCTAATCTTTTTTAAAGGGCAATATTTGTACTCCGTAATATTTTATCATTCTATACTTAAATTCATCTAAATATTATATGTACATTCTTTCAAAAAAAAAAAAATATTGTATGTACATTGTATGCCTCTGTAATAATGTTCCATAATCCATATTACAACTAATGAAGACAATAAATTAATTTTAAATACATTGAATATTAAAAAATGTCATTAAATGACTTTGTACTATTGTTTGGAAAAGTGAAAATAGAGTAGAGAGTACAGTAAAAAATAATGGGGATGAGCTGTAAATGAGATGGATGGTATGTGATGCATGATATGTATGTCATGCATATCATCATCATCAACTTACATCAGCAGCCCACTTGCGATTTAATGCGCGTGTGTATTATGATCCAATGAGAATAAGATACTTGGGGCCAAAGGATGATATCCTAGAGATACTCATTTTTATTTGAGTTGTCAATTGATATACTCCACTCGTATTACTCTGGCGGTTTTTACTTTTTACCTTAAAAAACAAACTTGTTTTACGGTTCACTTCTTTCGAAGATAATTTAAACATTAATACTTCTTATATCCCTTAATTACATTTTTTTTTTTTTTTTAATACGGAGTACTTCGTATTTGAAAATTACATTTCTACTTTCTCTTTTTAGTAGTAGCGAATTTTTACTAAATATTCCCAAATTATCCCTAAGGGCCTGTTCTCATTGACTGAACTGAACTGAGCTGAATTGAAATGAATATTTTATAAGAGAAGAAAATTAGGAACTGAACTGAACTAAAATGAATATTTTATAAGAGAAGGAAATTAGGAGCTGAACTGAACTGAACTGAACTAAACTTAACTGAACTGAACTGAACTGAGCTGAACTGAACTGAACTGAACTGAATTTCAACGTAAGAGAACTGAACTGAATTTCAACGTAAGAGAACAGACCCTAAATATTTGTGATATGACATTACGTTAATTGTATTTCTGTTTTGCAATTAATGGTTGTACAGAAACCATAATTTTCTCACTCATATTTTCTCACTCGTAACATTCTGAATCCATGTGCAGCACTATAATTGAATATGATTGGTTTTTTATTTTTCATAAACAAATATGATTGGTCCTTTTTCTTTTCAAACGATTGATGACATGTGCTTCATTTAATATCATTATATCTTTGTTTTATTCAAAGACAACAATAAATGTCTTGTATTTGTAAAAAAAAAAAATGTCTTGTAATTCCCATTGTACATTCTAATCATCCCTTTTAGGTAAAGTGAAATAAGAATGTAATTAAGGTACGAAAAGAGTAGCAACAAAGACCAAAGATTTCCCATCTATTTATTTAGAGACATAATTTTTTGATGTTTGTTATTTTATAATGACATACAGAGTAATTTTTAAAATTAAATTTATTACGGAGTAACAAATTTTCAACACATGTTTTTCTTTAAATAAATTTATACGGAGTACTAAAATAACAACTGCTGACATCATGCTAGACACATGTCAATTTGTTATTAAAAATTTTTCTCCAAAATTATAAATCTATCTATTAACTATTACTAAAACAAAATTTGCTGACATCACCATTGCCCCACGTGTCGCTTTCTCAATAAAAAATTTCCCGACTAAATGCAATGATGATGACATCTTATTCCTTTTTTTTTTTTTTTTTTTAAAAAAAAAAAAAAAACTATCATATTTAACGTTTTTGAAATTTATCATAGGAAATTGAAACAATTTTAAATGGCACATTAAGGGCCTATTCACATTTACTGAACTGAACTGAACTGATTGGAGCCAAATTGAACTAAACTGAGCTGAAATGGATATTTTTGAGAGAAGGAAATTAGGAGCTGAATGAACTGAACTGAACTGATTGGAGCTGAACTAAAATGAACTGAAATTAAGTATGTGAACAAGCCCTAATAAATGACCTCCTACATTGAACTATGAATTTAAAAACGTTGAACAGATAATATATCATAATTTTGATTAAAATAAAAAAATTTAAAAATTACAAAATATACGTAATTCTTATTTATATTCATGTATAATAGCGATTTATTTTTATTTTTAAAATGTACAAATGAAAAATAGGTTTTTTATAAACCGTGCATCGCACGGGTTCTAACCTAGTAATGTAATTATTTTATGCTTTTTATTTTATTTTATTAAAATTTTGATTAGTTATATTATTATTATAAATTTTCGATAAACAATTTAAATAATTCAATTTACCTTCCTTAAATATCCCTATCATTATTCAATTTTTCTATAAGCTTTATTTTTTTTAAAAAAAATAATATTATTTATTTTGGGATTTTTTTTTTAAATTATGATATAAAAAAAAATAAACGAATTTAGAAAATTTTATTTGTTCAAATTGTGCACCGCATGAGACTAATCTAGTTAATAATGATCAATGCCTACTAAAATTAAAAGACTTAAAGGACCACAACATACAATTTCATCACATGCAATTGCAACCCCTTGTATGGTCGTATCCCACCTAGTAACTAGGTAAGCTAATATATTCCCCACTGTTTTACATAAGAGAAAGTAAAAGACTCAAGAGCACAGGAGAGAGCATAAATAACATCTACGATAAGCTGGAAAGGAGTATAGCCATCAACTCTTTACTTGATCTCATCACAACATTTTGTGTGTCACTAATAGGATCAATATTATCATCTTCAAAAATAAATTTATTTCTACAAGATCATGATGCTCAACCAAGGGTAGCAATAGACACAAAATCCTCCTTAGTAATAGTAGAAGTAAACCACACAATTCAATCTCTCTAAAGCTTTTTCTAGGAGCACTGTTAAGAACCATCACAAACATACGTAGCAGCCCATTGTCCTTAGCTACATCGCACATAAAATGCAGCAGCATGTATAATAGAACATTAGACCCCCCCCCCCCTAAAAAAAAAAAAAAAAAAACCTTACATGCTATCCACAAGGATTGCATCAATAATTTAGGGGGGGCATTCAAACTCCAAACCAATCTCCACATATCATCCAAGCCCTACAATTGAGTGTTAGATGCACCTTGCTGACTTAGCCAATAATCCGAACGAACACTGTAAATGCCAATCTTATTTTGCCACTAGAATTATATCTTTAGGAACACATTATGACAACATAATGGTATAGATTAAGGCTTGGCCGGTTGCATTGAAGTTATTGCGTATAGCCTCTGCATTCCATACATTGTTTTGATTGAGGCATCAACATTGTTTTGCCATCAAAGCTTGGTTGAGACTTTAAAGGTTTTGGAAACTCATACCACCACAAATTTTCAATCAACATATAAACTCCAACCATTGCCAATGCATTTTCCTCGCAGTATCGCAAGAACCCTACCCAAGTCAAGCAAAAGGGATTGGATCTCATCTGTGAGAGTATTTGGGGTCTTGAAATGATCATCATATATGTCAGATTTGTTTGAACGACCGCTTTGAAGATGATTTCTTTTCCCAACTTTTAGATAACAACTTCTCTTTCCACTCTTGCAATTTCTTCCATATTCTCTTCTTAAGCATTGCAAAAATAGCTTATTCTTAATCTTCAAAATATGATCGGTAGACCAAGGTACTTTTCATGCCTCTCGACTTCATTCACCCCAAGAATATCAATAATTTCCTTCCGACGATCAAAATGAACATTATGCTAAAAGTGACATTTGTCTTGCATAGATCGACTTTCTTACCTGATGCCCTCTAATACTTGTTGATTATGTCAACTATAACTGAGCATTCTTACACATTCGCTCCAGCAAAAAGAAATCCGTTTTCCATCACTCTTTCTAAGACACAACCATTCTACCCGGTCATATGTCTTACTCATATCCAACTTGAGAGAAATATTCCTATACTTTCCTTCACCTCCCCTCTTCATAACGTGGAAATTCTCAAAAGCCACAACTGCATTGTCAGCAATATTCCCATCTGATACTTTCCTGCACATATGTAGTCATCCAAGTACCCCTTTCCCAAGTGAAGATGCTAGCTTTGAACCCTAAATTCCATAAGGAACAATAATTGTCAATCGCTTCACTAAAAGCATCCACAAGTCTCTCCCTTCTAGGGTCACCACCCTCTTTCTTTGAAAAGCTAGTTACCTCTTTAATATCATCAAACATAATGCAAGGAATGTTACTATTTGTTTTCAAATTTGACATAAGTTTCCATATCATATGTTTGTTTGATTGTGCGGACCACCCATAAATACCAATTAATAGCACAATACTTCAAATTATTCTTATCGTCAAAGTACATTCACATCAAAGTGATTAGTAGAATAAGAAATTACACCAACATTGATATCCTTCCACCAAAACTATAATACGCCGTATTTTTAAGACATATTGTCTAATTAATTAATTATTATTTTCTAAAAAGGGTATTATAGCAAATTATTTTTTATTTGAATTTTGGAGCCAAAATGATATTTGAATTTAGCACCAAAAACAAAACTCAATTACTATTTTGGATAAGATTTATTATATATTTATTTTATTTTAAAAAAACAAAATTATATATTTTTTGGATTTTTTAATCAAACAAAATTATATTTCTTAATTAGTATTTAATAGGGCTGAAAATTATAATTAATTAGCTAATAATTTTGGATTTTCGAAGTGTAGAAAATATGA